TATAAATAATCTAATATATATTATATAATATAATAAAGCCTATTATATTCTGCAATAGTAACAATGAATATCATGATTAATTTAAAATAATAATTATCTGCTATTGAATTCTATACAAAGACATTAGATATTTTTCTGTTGATCTCTGTATGTTTAATTTTCTTGTTGGTTTTCATTTGATGAATTTTATGTGAAACAAAGTATTATTTTAAATATGTTAACTTATGATATATTTGATTTATGTAAAGCAAAGTGATTATGACAGATGATAATTTAAAAATAAAATTAACAAAATGTTGATAATTGTTAAATTTTATTCTAAAAAAATTTGTTGGAATAGTAATAAAAACTATTCAAAATAAGTCTGTTTGGAATGAATAGGTATAAATTAATTGTAAATTTTTATCTAATTTGGTTACATTTTTAGTATATGGAATAATTTTATTCTTATTTGTAAATGCATTGTTTAAATTAATAAATGGAGAATTTAGTCAAAAAATTAAAGGACCAATATTAAATTATTTTTCAATATTAATTTCAATTAAATTTAATGAATTTTGCTGTTCGTATACTATTTGCTATTATTTGAAAAGTGATGATAATTAAATGAAATCCATAAAAAGATAACTCAATTTCTAGACTAAATGTTAAAATAATTAAGACAATGCAATTTTACTAAAATATATTTAATACATCTTAGTAATACAAATAATGAAACACAATAATATTTATCTAAAACCATGTAGCTTAACATACAGCACTAACTGTGCCAAGGTTCTACATGTCATAAAAAGATAAAGGAACTAATTCATTACAGAAACAACATTTAATTATATAACAAAAAAGCATAAATCTAATTTTTTAACTAAATACATTTATATAAAGTATGTTTAACTAAAAGTATATACATTTATAGCTTAAATAGAACTGTATTTAAACTCAAATAATAATTTTGTAGTTTAATTCTTTTAGCACTAATTTAAAAAGTAAATGAATTAGAACATGATTTTCTAGAATGAGAAAGTCTGACATTAATTCTATATTTTTCAAAATATATATAACATAATTGAAAGCAGAAAATTATAATTATGAGAACATAAAAAAAATAAAAAACACAATCCTATTTAAATCATAACTATAACAAAAACTGGCTGTTTTTTCTTGCTGTTGAAACAAATTATTAAATGGGATGAAGATTTTTAAATAAAATAATTTTAGAAATAAAGTAAGATTACAGTATTAATGCTTATCAACACCACTAACAACATATAAGCAATATACAGTAAACCTCGATTATCCGGACCTCCATTATCTGGATTTTCGATTATCTGGATTGTTCAAAATAAACAAAAATTTTACGAATTTGCTGATTTGCACTTGGCGAATTACGATACTGTTTATATACGTGATGGAATAACTTTTTTTGTTTTAACAACGTCTCACTCAGCACAGTGGCCGTAATCTCTTAAATATATTTTGCGTCATAATAAAAATATAACTTCACATATGTATTTATAAATAATTTTATTTTCAAATTACATCATTTCTATGATCAAGGGCGGCGTAAGGCATGGGCAACGTGGGCCACCGCCTACGCCTCATAGTCCGAAGGGCCTCGTGTTTCAAAGGTTTATGCATTACTTAAAAGCTGCGAACGCGACAAAAAAATTTTACTCGTCATAAAACGATAAATAGTTTGTCAAATTTTTATTCATAAAAATGCAGTTTCAACTGCTTTTTATTTTATAAAATCTGTCTTCTTGCGCCACCAGAGGGCCTTTTAAACAATAGGTAGTCTGTTAGCATTGGTCAGTAGTAGTCCAAATTCAATACGAACGTTTGTTTCTTGAAAATTTGATCATGGTTTAAATACAGTATTTACTTTTAATATTACCGATATGTCATCGAAAAGAAAACGTGTTGTATTATCATTAAAAGACAAATTAAAGTATTTGTTTTGATTATCCGAATTTTTCCTTATCTAGACTACCTTCATCCCCAATTAGTCCAGATAATCGAGGTTCTATTGTATCAGCAATATTTTTAACATACATAATTAAAAGCAAAAATTTCAACATTAGATAGATTTTATGAATAATACATCTGCATGACCAGCTTAATTCAAAATTATTTAGCTAACAATATGCAGACATAACAATTATACAGGGCATTCCAAAAGTTACTCTGCAGTAATGACTCTCCAGATATTTTCAAATTAAAAATTTTTTCACAAACTAAATCATTATTGCACCTTCACATATACCTATCACATATACATGATTGCATCCTCTCAAACATTCCTGGGTCATCTTGATGAGCACAAAATTGAAGCCGCTTGGTTCTAGTAGGATAGTGCAACTGCATACACAGCTCACTCATCATTCCACTTTTAGGAGATATCTTTACCAAATGAATAGTCTCATACGAAACTTGGCCTATTCAATCTCCAGACATGAGTTCTTTGATGCTCAGTCCTGGAGATTGAATGTAACATCTGCTACAGAAAGAACTGCACTGTATGGGTAACTTTTGGAACATCCCTGTAAATCTATAAATAGACTAGATTTAAATCCTATCTAGCTCAAATAGGTTAGGCTTTCAGAATCATCAAAGCACATCCAGAACCAAACAAGCTTTACCAAATATAGTTACACAATAATAGTTATATATCTCAAAGGAGATATGAAAAAAACTTGCAATTAGTTTGAACCACCATTACAAAACTCAAAATTAACAGAAATAATTTTTTACACTAATATGGAAAAAATTTCTTGCTGTAATAATGTCAACAAGAATTTAAAAGAATTATCTGCTACTAAAAAGTGATCAAGAAATAAATGATAGTTTTTTCTGAGTTTTTCTCTTTATTACTTAACTTTTATTAACACTTTAATATATTAATGAAGAATTATAGTTGCTATTGATAGCTCAAATGTATTTAAACTTAGATTAACAAATTATAAATTTTGTAATAAGTAGCTTTAACAAATAAATAAAATAAATTATTAATAGTCCTTTAATTTCAACACAGAGAAGGTCCTTTAATTTTTATTTGTAAATGTATTTCATATATGAATATATTTGTGAAGTTGTTTTGTTTCACAACAGTATATTACAAAGATTAATATCTGGAGAAATTAATAATATATATATATTTCATTATATTTGGATGGAAAAACTATACTTTTCAATCATATATTTTCAAATATATGAAGTATTTGAATTTTTATAAATCTGTTCTTTCAGTATTAGATACTCTGCTCATTTGTAATGTGAAAGATAACTGTGCAAGGTGCAAAATCAAATTATAATTATTATTTTAAGTGCAAAAAATAAATAGAAAGCAGAACAAATTAAGGTTTTCTAATTTATATATATATAAACTTTATAAAATTGTAAAGTAATAATAAAATTAATGAAAAGTTTTGCAAGTAAGAATAATTATAAAGGGACAATCAATTAAGAAGTGAATATCAAACAAACACAAACACAAAAATAAAACTCAAAGCATTTACCTGTATATTAAATTAGTAAGTGGTTCAATCAACTTTTTACCCAGCCTAGGTTCTAGTGGAGTCAGAGCACCAAACTGTAAGAGGGGAAACTTCAAATTAGAATAGTCAAGCTATAGTATGTCAACTACCTTGTTGTTTGGTGACAGATTGAATAAATTTTAATATATAGATATAATTTGGACATCTTGTTTTTTTCTTTCTTTCTATATATAATTTCCCCAGTATTATATATATATATATTTTTTTTTTGTGAATATCTGTATTTGTATTGTACTGTCATATGTTTGTTGTTTCCACAGAATAAATAAATGCTTGAAACATACAGCATTTAGAAAAGAAACACTTGAAAGCTGAAACAGTTAAAAATTTGTTTAATAAATAAATGGTATTTGTGGGCTAAAAAAAGTTAAGCAACCGGGCAAACTAAACAGAATACATTTTAAACAGCTGAACTGAGAGGTTATATGGGAAAGGTATGTTTACCTGCGAATAATATTAATGAGAGGTTGACTCAACTTTCTACCCAGCCGCGGTTCAATGTAGGTCAGAACACCAAACTGGAAGAGGTAAAAAAGATATGGCAGGTAAAAGACAGAGAGAAATTATCATGCATATAATTGTTTCAGACAGAAAAAAAATTATTGAAAAAAGCAGGTAATATATAATGTTGAAATATTTTAATGGAAATTAAACTTTTGCTAATAATATTTAGGATTGTTAAGATTTATAAATTCATGCTTCAGAAAAATGTAACATGCATTCTGCTAATCAGGCTAATAAGTTAAATTAATTCAAATTTAAATTAAATTTTATTACTATTGGTTATGTGAAATTAAATTAAATTGTACATCAATTAAAATTTATTTTCAGTCAATAATAATAAAATTATAATTAATAATATTGAAATGCAATAAGTTATTTTAGTTGTGGAAATTGTAACTTTAAGCTTATGCTTTTAATAATTATTTTAAAGAAATTGAAAGATCATTAAATATCTGACAAAATAACATTATCTAAATTTCATGTATTTAGATACAAATATAGTGATTTCAAATATAAAAAGTATCATTGTTAATACATTAATATATTGTAGTAAACAATATAATTCATCATATTACAATATACAGATTTTAAATTCTTTTTAAATCATTATATACATCAGATGATAATTATCTTTAAAATATATTTCATAATTCNAATGTAGATCTATTTTACAGAAATTCTTAATTTTAATATCAAGTGTGACAGATGAAGTGCGACACCAACATAGGAGGTGTCTAAAAATTGATGACAAAATGTGAGAGGGGGTCAACAGGTAAGAGTAGATACTCAAAACAGGACTATTATGCAATTGGTGGCATCACATTTGAATAATGCCTGTAGTTATGCTTATAATAAGTTTAAATACATACATTCACTTGTTTTGTATTTCAATATTGTACTCAATAAATGGAAACGTATACCACTAAATAACATCGAATATGCATGAAAAAAATTTTTACCTGTCTTTCTTTCGAATTAAGGCTGTTGCCAAAGTTAAAATCGTACATTTTACATTGATGACAAGTGCTGATAATGTGACCAAAATTATTTTCCAGAAACGCTTTAATCTCTAAATAAATGGGTCTTTTTCTTACCCTTTACATTGCATTAACACAGACTTTTATTATTATTCGAAGCAATTAATGCAAAAATATAAATTTTGACAATGTTAGTAACTGTCGTCAGTAAGCTATGTGTATAAATTATAAGTATTGTACTAAAAATATAATGCTTGTGAACATTTAAACAGAAATGAAATACTGTACTCACCTAATCTGATAAAAGGAAAACTTCCAAAACGATATAAAAAAATTAAATGTAATCGAGATAAAATGACAAACATGAATTGAGAAAACGTACGAATCACTGTTTTAGCAGTCCGTGTATTGTAATCCGAAAACCAGTGATCAAATAACATTCGTCTATTCCAAACAATAAGTAGTGCCTTTATAATTCTGTCTATTACAATTAACAAACTCCATTTGAACATGAATACAGAATTGGTTTTAATTTCTGGTTAATATGCAGAATAATGATACAGATATGATTATTATTAAAATAATATGATGGAACAATAAAAGTATCCATATGAGGAGGAGGAAGAAAAATAAGAAAAGAAAGTCCTTCAAACCTGCATGTTGGTAACCAACGATTTTATTTACAAACATTTTTTTGCTTCCTTTCAGCCATTTTCAGTTTCACAACTTGTTCTAACAAACATTTGAAGCAACAGAATTTAAAATTATGACTTACATGTAACAGTTTGACCAATTTAAAAAACAAATGCTTCATTCGATTCTTTTGTCATACTTATTTTTAAATAATTTTAAGCTTGTTCAAGTTGTAAAACAGTAAATGGTTCAAAGGAAGAGGAAAATATTTTTTGTAAATAAAATAGTTACCATAAAAAGCAATGGTGAAGGACATCTACTACACTCCTCTAAAGTGAAATTGCAACATCACAAAGAAATGCACATAGCCACCTGCAAATTGCAGGACTGGTGGAGACATATGAGTGATTAAGTTTGCGTATGTATCAGGTCATGTGGTATCCAGTTTTGAACTATGAAGACCAGCAGTTAGCTCAGGCTGTAAATGTTATCAGTAATGATTTGTGGCAATAGAACATTTGAAGAAGTGTAGAAAATATCTCAGAGATGGCAGCAAGCTAAAACGATACAGTATCCTTTAGGTGCAAGATATTGGTTTGTCAAAACACACAGTTGTCACTTGTTGGGCATAACATGAACATTCTGCAATATGTGACACAACAGACACAGCAACATCTGCAAACACACCAAAGAGGGAGTGAATTGCATTGGCACACAACAGAGCGCATAGATTGGGAGATTCGCCAAACAGCCCAGTGGGACCTGTTTGCCATAGCACTTGACATCCAAAACTGCTTGTCACTGTCAACAGGTGCATCTATCTAAACCATTTGCAACAGATTTCATGAAGTCAGGCTGCATGCATGGCAACAGCATCCAGGGTGCCATTAATCAATCAACACAGGGCTGCATGCCTGGAGTGTTTGTTGTTGTCATTGCAACTGGACCACTAAATCAGCTATTTATGAATGAATCCTGCTTGTCTGTGGAGGAATGACAGCCCTGGATGGGTATGGTGGTATCCTGGGGAACACTACATGCCAGTCCTTTTCACAGTGTTACACTGGCCCCACACCAGGCATCATGGCTTGGGGAGGATTCATGCTTGATCAGAAGACGGTGTACTTGACAGCAGAGCATCACACAAATTGAGGATCCTGTGATTTGGCCACTGGTGCAGGCAACATCCAACATGGTGTTCCAGCAAGATACTGTCTGACCACACATTACACAGTGAACTCGCTCTCACCAGTCTGAATTCCATTCAGACTGGTGAGAGTTCATCCAATGCAAGATGCACCTGGGACCACTGCCACATACTGTAGATGATGTGTACTGCAAATATACCTTGGCAAGGGATGCCTCAGACAACCATTAATCATTTCATTGATAGTATAACTTGTTGTATAGAGGATTGTATAGCTGTCCATGCGGCCATATTCATTATTGAATAATAAACAGGTGTTTATTATTCAGTAATATATCTTGCATATCTTTATTTGTTGTTTTAATCTTTTGCATATCTCTATCACCTCTACCAGTCCTGCAATGTGCATGTGGCTATGTATATTTCTTCATGGTGTTGTAATTTCACTTTTGAGGAGTGTATAATAGAGCCAAGATTTGTGGATTTCAAAGAACAAAAGAAAAATATTCTAATTTCTTTATTAATTTAATGCCAGGAAAACTAAATGCAAAATAATTATATATATAAACTAGGACATCTAGGCACTAAAATTATATATATGGCCTGTTTGTATGATATATAACTATTTGCTTATTTTTTATTATAAACATATTTGTATGATTTTTAGTGCCTAGATATACGTGCTCTAAAATTATATATACAATTATGTTTACAATTATATATATACATACGGTGACCATACGTCCTTTATTTCACTGCTCTGTCCTCTAANAGTTATTTTTATATTAATTTGTATAATAATATATGTTAAATAACACATATGCATACAGAAATGTAAAATTAATTTTTTGTTATGAAGGTCCTGACTTTTCTGAAATTCTTGTTCTTTTGCAATAAAGTCATGAAAGTTTCATTTGTCACTTTTTTCTTTCCTTAGCAAATGCCAGTAGCAGAATATCGCATCTAAAACACTTCATTTTGCTTTTGCACTCCTTTCAAAATCTAGATCATTCGTTACAATTTGATCAACAATTTTGGTTATCTTACCAAACTTTTACTAAGGAAATCTGTAGAGTAATATTTTGGGTTCTTTGTTTTCAGAATCTCCGTTTTCCAGTTCCATATGAATTCTATGTTTTGCCAGTTGTTTAAGATTGTCATTGATAAGCCACTCACCAGAAACCTGCTGTAACTCCACAATATCCTGCTCGTCTATCTCCCAGTCCTACTATATCAATTAGGTTGTGTTTGGCCATTCGTCGATCTTTTCGTTTGTGACATATTTAATAATAAACAACACACACCTGATTTGTATTTGCCGAGTTATTTTCTTTATGCATAAAGAAAATAACTCGGCAAATACAAATCAGGTGTGTGTTGTTTATTATTAAATATGTCACAAACGAAAAGATCGACGAATGGCCAAACACAACCTAATTGATATAGTAGGACTGGGAGATAGACGAGCAGGATATTGTGGAGTTACAGCAGGTTTCTGGTGAGTGGCTTATCAATGACAATCTTAAACAACTGGCAAAACATAGAATTCATATGGAACTGGAAAACGGAGATTCTGAAAACAAAGAACCCAAAATATTACTCTACAGATTTCCTTAGTAAAAGTTTGGTAAGATAACCAAAATTGTTGATCAAATTGTAACGAATGATCTAGATTTTGAAAGGAGTGCAAAAGCAAAATGAAGTGTTTTAGATGCGATATTCTGCTACTGGCATTTGCTAAGGAAAGAAAAAAGTGACAAATGAAACTTTCATG